TTAGCCGAGCCGAGCCGAGCCATAAAACCAATTTTATATTTTAACTTAATCGACAATATATTATTATTATCACATTTTAAGTTTTTTTTAAAAAAAAATTGAAATCGATCCAAATGGATATTCATATTGTTAAATATCGAATCAAACTAAAAATTCTAAGAAAATAAAGTTCGAAAAAAGGACACTTAAATGAGGTTGGGATTGAAAAGAAATATAAACAATGACGACTTTATGTTTCACAATTAATGTAATTTATTTTGATATTTAAAATTTATCGATCATTTTTAATAATCGACAATATATTTATTATTATCACATTTTAAGTTTTTTTAAAAGTTTTGAAATTGATCCAAATGGATATCCATATCGTGAAATATCGAATCAAACGAGAACAAGTGTAGGAAAATAAAATTTGAAAAAAAGACATTGAAATGAGGTTGGGATTGAAAAGAAATATAAACAATGACGACTTTATGTTTCACAATTAATGTAATTTATTTTGATATTTAAAATTTATCGATCATATATTTTTCATGACCGCACTTCAAAGTTTTATATTTAAAATTTATCGATCATATATTTATCATGATTGCACTTCAATGTTTCCAACAACTTTTAAATCGCTTAAAACGAATATCTGTAACTTAAAATATTGAATCAAACGTTAAAAAAAAAAGTTAGCTGAGCCGGGCTATAAAGCCATTTGGCTCAGCTGCAAACAAAATTAATCAGAGGAAGGAAAAAAAATTAGTCGAGCCGAGCCATAAAGCCGTTTGGTTCGGCTCGACTCGACTCACAGCTGGTGAAGCCGAGCTCAGTCATAAAGTCATTTGGCTCGACTCGACTTGACTCGGCTAACGGCTTGTGAACAGTAGAGGCAGAGTGCAACTTTTATTTATGTGTAGAAATAAATAAATAAATAATATGTAAATGATCACCGACAAAAATTCCATCAATAATGGTCGACAATAATATGATAGACGACTATGACAGAAACCAATATTATTGATAATATCGAATGAATTATCGATACAATATTGTCAATTATCAACTATGGGTCTCTGTTAATATTATTAAAGAAAATATCGACGATGATGCCAATAATCACTAAAGACACTTCAATCGATATAGTGTAATTTTGAGCGCTTATCTCAACCCACCAAATCGGCGAATTTTGATCATTTCTCGTATTCTCTTCATATTTTATCATTTATAAAATAATTATTTCCAACCAATATATTTTGCTCGAAACTAAATTGTAATACAAATTTATTAACTAAAAATTTATTTATCTTTTAAAAAATTATATTGTAATTATAAAAAATACTTATAAGTAAAATGTTACTTGTAAGATAAGAAAAATTATATTATAATTGGAAGTAAAAAATCACTTTTATGCAAAAGAAAAAAATGTTATGAAATAAAAATACTACTAATGAGATAAAATTCACTTATAAAATATAAAAAATGTTGCTTATAAGTAAACAAATTCACTTAAAATTATTTAAAAGTATAACATTTACTTATAATTGTAAAATTTACTTATATGTAAAAAATATTAACTTAAATTTTTAATTAATTTTGAAATTAAATATTAAGTTGTATGTAAAAAAATTATCTATAAGTAAAATATCACTTGTGAGTAAAAAAATATTCATATAAAAGAAAATTTTACTACGGGATATATACGTAATTTTATTTATTTTTTAAAAAAATTAGAACCGATGAATAATAAACTTCCAGACATAATTTGGAGGGTTTTAAAAATCGTTACTAAAACCACTCAAAATCGATCCGCTCATAAACGCTCAAAATTAGTACTTTAAGAAAAGTGTATTCAATTGGGAAGAATTTGATGGACTCCTTTTAAGTGATAACTTCTGTAGATTTCGTAGATTTTTTTACATATTTGTGTGGAATTAGTAGAAGTCTTTTGTGAACTTT